GATGGGGGTGAAAGGTGGGGAGAGGACGTCCCACAACAGGACCTGCCAGAGTCATTTATTAGGATAGTGTGGCGAACCTGGTTCGAGTTGGGCACACTATAGCGAGTACTGCTTTATTAGGCAAGTACAGAACAATAGAATATACGCCATGTTGTGACCTAGTGATACAAAGTCGGCAAAATTCTGTGTATAAATGGATCTGGGACCAACAAAAATGCCCCTTTACAAATGGTCTTCCTAGCAACAACAAAAGTACTACCCCGGCAATTAAATAAGTCCCCATCCTAGGGAGAAATACGTTCCTTCATTTTCTGATGCTACCTTTGATAATATACTTGACACAAGTAGCTCTCATTAATAGATAGTGGAGGCATTATTGTGCTTTGTTAATCCATTGCAGCCCCCCCCCTCCCCCAACGTTACCCGAGCCACATATGGTGAATCATTATTCTAGCCTGTCTAGTAGGTCAAATAATCGTTATGTATGGGAAAGTCCAAAATTATGTCCCATACCAAGGAAAATGTAATAATGGAAACATGAACATGAACTTGTATGATGTCAATAGAAGTGTTAATCAATTTGATATTTTGTCTGGACTAAGGTCAAGTACGGTGATCGGCTTGACATATTTTGGTGGATTACGTATGTAAAAAAAGGTAGGACTGGCTAGCATAGATCTCAACGTACCATACAAATTTGAAGAGCGCCATCTGAAACAAAACGTCGGCATATTTAAACTTGTTTAGTAAATCTGAGATGGTCCGTGTAGCCTATCAAATTGTAACATTGATGATGATGTGACATGTGAAAATGACGCTGATGATCATGTGAAATGTGAAACTGATGCTGATGGTGATACTAATGATGATGATGATGTTGTTGATGATGATGATGCTGCTGCTGATAATGAAGGTGATTTAATACATTTAATTTGTATTTACAATATATTATTATCAGTAGCAGCAGCAGCATAATCTTCCTCACCCATAACAACTACAAACAACATCATCATCATCATCATTATTGCAATCATCTTGTCATCACTACTACCAATACCGTCAACATCATCAGCATGTCCATCGTCTATGCCATCACTATCATCCTCTATTTAATCCCCGACCTCGTCATCTACGTCATCATTATAAAATAAGAAAATTGTCTCGTTTTCACTGTCATCAACATTATTCACATCATCATCATCCTGCCCATCGTTCGTGTCGGCAATATCAATTTTATCACCAACATCATCATTTACGTCATTATTATATTAAATAAATCGTTGCCATAGTACCACTGTCGTCATCACTATCAATGTTTCTATCTTTATTATCATCATCATCGTTATCATCATCATCTTCATCATTGTCATCGTCTTCATCATCATCGTCATCTTCATCATTGTCATCGTCTTCATCATCATCGTCATCTTCATCATCATCGTCATCCTCATCATTGTCATCGTCTTCATCATCATCGTCATCTTCATCATTGTCATCGTCTTCATCATCATCATCATCTTCATCATTGTCATCGTCTTTATCATCATCATCATCTTCATCATTGTCATCGTCTTCATCATCATCATCATCTTCATCTTCATTATTATCTTCATCATTGTCATCGTCTTCATCATCATCATCATCATCTTCATCATTGTCATCGTCTTCATCATTGTCATCGTCTTCATCATCATCATCATCTTCATCATTGTCATCATCTTCATCATTGTCATCGTCTTCATCATCATCATCATCTTCATCATTGTCATCGTCTTCATCATCATCATCATCTTCATCATTGTCATCGTCTTCATCATCATCATCATCTTCATCTTCATCATTGTCATCGTCTTCATCATCATCGTCATTCGCCTCCATTCACATCAGAAATATAGGTAATTAATCATACTACATCACTATCCTCATCGTCAACATCACCACTGCCATTCACGATTTGTTTTCTTCATTCCTTTGATTTTTATTAACGTAACATCAGACCATAAACAATGCATAAGGATTGGATAAAGTTTGTAGTCTGTTAGTCAAATCCTTTTTTATTATGATAATTCAAAACTTCATGGTATACATAAAGACTTATGTTTTACATATAGGGTTTCCTCCATTTTCTTCTAGGCAGTATCTTTAACAGTGTTAACACAACTTTTTTGAATTTGATATGAATTACCGTAATTCGTCTTCCTTACATAATTATATGAATACTTATTTCATTCCTTATAGTGTTTACATGTATCCACAAGAAATATTCACGTACCATATAAATTCAGTTTTCCTTTAAAAGACAATTTACTCGTTTGACTAACTTAACTTAATTTCTTTTCTTTTTCTTAAAATCGAGAATGAAATGAATGAAATGAATGAGAATTGAATTGAATTAAATTGAATCTTAAGGAACTTAAGGAAATACTATACACCGAGTTATTGCGTTTTCGTTGAGCTTAGGTTAACGTTGATCCATTTATTTCAAAACAAACTTTGTAAGCTTTAGGAGTTCGGGATTACCCGGTCATGTACAATAGTGCTCTTCTTTGGCTTCTCTCAATTATAATTTGTTTATTTGTATAATATTCATCAACATATTATACAGAAACTGTACTGTTCAATCTTGGCCAACAACATTGTCCATGGGATACCACAATAAAGTCTCCTGACCATTGACGTATACATCTTATACTTTCTCAACACTAAACGAATGTCATTTCTCCAAGAACTTGAGTTACAGAATGAAATAATTATACAGGGATGGTACCCTACCCAAATAGATGAACATGACTGTATCCAACACAGAATAGAAAAACAAGTATTTTCCATTTCACCTTGTGTATAAGGCCTACTTTGAGAGATGCCGGAGTTACGTGTTTACAAGTCCATCACATGATGGTCTCCACCTATACATGTATTAAACATACAGTGGAATGATTATATAGCTTCATCTTTTTACACGACAGCGAATTCCATCAAAGCAGGTAAATATTATCAGTTTGAATTACTAATTATAATGACTACTTTTTTCATCAAACATTCCTTCATAGTTATATACATATCTAAGTTTCCAGCTTCCAGTTTACTTGCACTTATAACAAACAGACAACAACAATACACGAATATACTTGGAAATACAAATTATAAACATATACAAATATGTATGTACATTTAATTATACGAGTACTTAAGCCAATAAGTGAGAAAATGAATTAAAATGAATAGCTAAATTCAGAGTGGAGGAGCCGACAGAGGCTAAAGACCTCTCGAGGGCTAGCTTCATGCAGACTTGCTTTAATAATTCAAAATATTATTCTTAAATGGCCAATGGCTTCATTCTCTTGATCATATTATACCATAATCTTTAATGACATATTAATGGTTTCAAAAAGTACGAGGTGAATACACAATAACAATTATCAAAACCCCGTCCATAAATCTCCTAGTATTCGGGTTCAGCGTAAGCTTCTATATACAACGTTTCATTAAAATGAAGAGATACGCATGCCATAATTAAATAAGACAGTTTTGATTTAAACAGTGCCATTTCCAACAGAAGAAAACAAGCATACACAGTGCGTCCAAGAAAAAGCAAAGCCGAGAATTATCGATATTTCATCATAACTGAATCACAATTATAATTAATAAATGACACATATTTGTAAAGCTTAGACCCTCTTCTTTCATTTAATGCAACTCATATGAAACATATTTCACGCATGAGTAATTACAAATAATTTGAAGAAAGGGAACCAAAAAGTCATTTGGCGAACAATATCTGACTTCCAAAGAGAAAATCACATTTCTAGAAAATCAATTTTTTGCCCTTTCATAGACACCTCAATCAGGAAAATGAGCCAGGAATATCAAAGTCATTTTTGACACGAACATCAGGAAGGTGAAAACCAAAGAAAGGTTTTAATATGGTAGGTAACAGTTTTTATCGCGGTTATTTCCGTAAACCCTATGACATCTGAAGTCACGAAATGTTTATTTCGAGAACTCACGCGATACACAAGGTGATAAATAAGGTGTTACAGCCTGTTCTACTTGAATTGACTAGATTCAATTCCATCGGTAGTCCAGTTTTTCATTGCCATTGATTCAGTCTAATCGACGGAACAGATCATTTAGTGTCTCTAAAACTACTCTATTAATTTAACCATTCAAACATTATGCATTATTCTAAATGGTGTATAATGATCCCACCTTGGATACGTTTCGACATACAAGTGACAATATATTGTTTTTGTCATGCGTTTAATTCATTATATCCATGTGTACACTAATATGATGTATGGCATATATACTTGTGTTTATATACACTTTCAATGCATGTCATTATGCTTTTTTCTATATAACACACATGATATATATATATATATATATATATATGTTTACGTGAAATATGTATGAAATACATACTCATGACATGATGTGTAATCTATTCTTCGTTTATGACCAGAATATTGATGGCTATCAAGAAATACAATAAGATACTTTTTCACATCATGATTACAATCCAGATGACGGGCATCACCTTTTTTTTTCTTCTTCATTTTAGACGCAAACCTATTATTATGTAATAGAATGAACAGTTTGTGCAACTAATCTATGAATAGGAAGGTATCATCGTATCTTTCTGTTGCGTTAAACAACACGAATTAAAGAAAACTGGACACAAACATGAGTCTGAGGAAATGAAATCATACCCTTCAAATTAAATTAGATCGCAAGTCATGTTATAATTAAGCAATTTGTACTTCAAGAGAATTTACCTAAACATCATTCTAAATAATTGAGAGTGAAAAATGTTCACGTTATCATACCTTTCGAAATAAATTAGATATTTGGTGATGTTATTATGCATTTTGTTTGTCCAGATAATCTGGCTAATGTAATTCTGAATTGATAGTCATGATATATCACGGTAAGAGAAAATGATTCAATTTCCAATAATTTCATTATTTTGTATTCGTCTGATACTGGACAATTATCTTTCATGGACTGCTTGGTGTGGTGGTTAGTTTGAATATATAGAGTCTATCAGTAGTACAGAAAGCAATCTCTCCTGATCGGAACTCGCGGAGATAGTACCAGTTTGTCTTAGGCTTCTCAATCTTGTGATCAGAGATGAGAGTCTGGACGTGTTTGAGCTCGCTGGTGTACTCATCTATACTAACCAACCCATCATCATGCTTGACCCAAGCGATCAGGATTGAATTATTCTGAGTTACAGCAGCGTATGCCGTTAGTCCCGATTTCTCTACCTTGTGTTTCACATTGCCATCTTTGTCAATTATCATTGCTGTATTACCATATCTGATGATTAATACGTCATTATAACTGGTAATCTGATGAGGTATGTACCCATCGTATGGTATCTCCCTGATCGCCTTCCCACCTGTTGGTGAGAACACTTGGATCTTCTTGGCTTTCCAGTACCCAACATAGATCAGATTATTACTGTTTACAGTGAGACTACGGGTCCCACCTTTATCTTTACTTAGAGTATCAAATGTTAGATCCAGCTTCACATACTCCTGTGTGTACAGTGTGATGTTATCTCTGCCATTAAGAACGACATGTCGACCATCAGACAGGTATCCTACTTCACGGATACTGACATCCTTGAGGACTGTTTTCTGCAGCTGACCATCAGCAGAGAAGATATCGATGCCTCCTGTGTAGTATCCTACTGCCATCCTACCATCGGGTGTAGCAGCCATGCCATTCATGTGGCCTTTCTTAAAGAGTTCTACATCACATTCCAACTCACATTTCATGAACCTCACCTCACCGATGTTCAACTGTTCACCTTGATTGATAGGTGTGAATATCAGTTGCTCTGCACGGTCAGCTACATTCGTAGCCATCTTCTTCTCTGGATCATCCCTGTCTAGTACATTCTTCAGCTCACCAGACAATGTATCACGAATAAAAATGATGTCACCTCCTAATGGAGCCTTCATGCTATTACCCGCTAACGCGCTTGCACTCTCAATACTCGTAATCAACCTCTCATCAACATCCTTCATCTCATCCAATCTTTTACACAATATCACTTCCTGAGTATCCAACTGCTGGTCTAATGCTGCTTTTCTCTCGTTTAATTTCTTGAGTGATTCTTGATACTTCCTCTCGATTTCAACCCTTTTGCCGGCAATGTGATCAGTGACACGCTTTTTCTGATTCTTGATGCAGGTCACGTGATTCTTGATTGTTGTAGCTTTCGTCTTACCCTGGGCTTGTAGAGATTCAATTTGTGTCTTGGTAGAAGCATTGTATTCCTCAGCATCTTGAACAATGTGTCCTTTCTTGTCATGGTTCAACATTCGACATCTCAAGCAGATGAACTTCTTACAAGTGATACACACATCAGTACAGATGTGTTTTTGCTTTTCTGCTATGTGTTCCTGGCAGTAAACCTCTTTTTCGAGGACCACCCTTCCCTCTCTGACGTCTTCTACTCTCACAACTCTATGTTTGACATGAGGCTGCCATTTGTTATGATTCTCAAGGCATGTGTTACACATGTTCTTACCACACTCACAACATAAATGTACAGCTCTCGAGTTTTGGTCGCACGTTTCACAGACTTGCTGGCTATTTCTCACATCATCCACGAGAGACTTAAGAGGAACATTAGTATTGAGATTTAAGACATCGCCACCTTTTACAGATGTTACGCTTCGACAGATGGGACATGTTAGATAATTTTTTGAAGAGCTTTTAAGAATGTCGTTAAGGCATTTCTTACAGAAAGTATGTGTACATGATAACTGCTTCGGGTCACAGAGCAGCTCTAAACAAACAGGGCACTGCAAATTGCGTGAAACTTTGCGTTCAAATTCCGACATTGTGATTCTCCTATCTCAATATGCACTGATATGATAAATAATGCAAACATCAGTAGTATATCAATGGAAAATTTTAACTCTATGACTAGAGAATATTCATATCTTCCATAGGTTTAAGACAGATATCATCACTTCCAGTAGGCAACGGTTTTATTAAGGTTGAATAAACATATTTAGTTGTTATAAACCACCTTTAGTCATGTTAATGATAACATAAACCTGGCTTAAATAATTCGTTTTAGTCACTAAGCAACAGTATATAACATTATGACATTATGTTCTTATAGTTAGGGCTATAATTAACTAAAGTAACTTAGTGTAATGAGATGAGTGTTTACAGTCGGGTATATTCTCCTTCCTGCCGTCGACCACCACATGCTATCTGCTGCGGATCAAGAACAGGCCAGGAGGCATTCTGAAGAGGACTGAAGATGATCTCATTTTGTCTGATCCTACTCCTCACACAATTTTTTTTTTGGCCCTAAAATTGAAAATGAATACAAAATGATACAAATTAATACTTTGGCCTTATATAACCAGGATACCACATCAGGGATAAAATTGTTCTTCTTGCAGGCCCTCGAATTATTATTACCCGACCAATGTTAGTTACCCATTCACACCTGCGTAGAGGGTGGTAAATATGGATTAACGTGTTGCCAAAGGAAGTTAATGCCGGCTGGTATTCGAACCATCAACCCTTGTATTAAGTAAAGTGATTAATGAACCACTATACCACGAAACCTTCAAAAATGACCAGTCGAATCAATATGATGTGATAGTCGAGAACAATTATATGTATGATTATCATCATAAAGTATGTGGCGTCACCTGGGAGAGCGGGATAGACAGAGATAAAGAGAGGGGAATGGGCGGGGGGAGTCGAACAGAAAAATGTTTTACCGATCTCAGTGTCAAATCTTTGCTATGGTTTCATTTTAGAATCATCGATAATTAATAGTAGATTATTTACAAATTATAATAATTCTGTTATCATGGAAACTTGCTTCCAACCAGCATTAAAAACATGAATCAAAATGAATAACAGCTATGCAGCGTAATTTTTAACCGAAATTTGGCACATCACCCGAATAATATATTTTAGTCATAATTTAATATGGACTGGTTCGGAAACTTTTGCTAGAGAATGGATTGAATTGTTATTTTGAAGTTCTTTATCATTGTGTACACTCTAAAACTGAAATGTTAAATGTCAATTTAAAAGGGCCGAGGAGTGACCACTCTTTCAAAATGTCAGATTGTTTCTTTTAACCTGCTAGATTTTAACCTTTATAGTGTTGGATCCAGCATCTTCAAAGTGTTAATCTACAATTTTGAAAGATTGGTCAATCCTCGGCCCTTTTAAATGGTGATTTAACATTTCAGTTTTTAGAGTGTAAGGGACCCTAAACAAATCCGTTCTGGATTAAAATCTGGAGCGCCTTGTAACTGCAAATTACTATGTGGGTTGGATTGGATCAGATTAACGAAATTTACTTGCAATTTAGTTTCTTTCTTTACTTTCTTTCGAATTTTTATTTAGAAGCTTTCTGAACAATTTTGTTATACATGACACTCTATTCTGCGACATACTCCTATAATAGCACCATGTTACCCCCCCCCCCACTCTCCCTCCCGGCTGCGCGCTTCTCGGCTGCTATCGACTCAAGCATTATTGCTTATGATAGTTGGGCCTCTGCAGTTATCTTGATTATTTTAATTACCTCGATACTTTCAAGTTTTCAATTATATATATATATATGCATTTTTTGTTGTGTGTATTTTAGTTGTCACTCTTTATGTAAATCAAATATATTATATACTATTACTGTTATTTGAATGTTTTATATTTGATTTATCAGTAAATGCAGAAACATCTGCTAAAAAAACACAAACTAAATGATGCAAATAAAATGAAGTATAATTGATGATAACTATATAAAGTACATGTGGAATAGTGTAATCATATTCCCAGGTGCTTAAGCAGTGTGACCACACAAAGGAAATTTAAAGGGAAGACCAAATTAAAATAAGGTGTGTCCCTTTAAAATTGGACCGTGTGCGGCAGTAGTCAACGAAATTGAATAGAACGCTGTTCGTCGAACCGAAAAATTAATGAATATGTACTGCGATTATTGCCCTTTGGTCATGATTATATCAAACACCACAATCTAACAGGAACTTACATGAGTCCGTTAAACTCGTATCCACGTTGTCCACCTAAAAAAATCTTCTTGGCTGTCAATATGTTGGATCTAGAATAAAAGGTAGACAAGAATAGTAAAATGGACACTCATCCATAGTCATGTTTTTGTCTGTCGTTTTACTGAAAAAACACATGTTGAACTGAATGACACAAATGCTAGCCATTGTTTAGATAACAAAATTAATCGCTTGAGAGAAGAATCTCGGGTGATTTGTGAAGGCCAGTTAACAGTAGCAGACTGCCAGGCAGCGGTTAATGAAATGTCAACAGGTAAATCACCAGAAAGTTATGGCCACACAAAGGCATTCTATGTCAGATTCTGGGACATTGTATCTGACCCCTTACCATCGGCCCTAAATTATTCTTTATTAAAATCTCAACTGTCTGCTAGTAAAAAACAAAGTGTTATCATATTTATTTTGAAACCCGACAAGGATGTTTTTTTAAGATAATTGCCGACAAATCTCATTGATGAATGTCGATGTGAAATTCTGCTCAAAAGTACTTCCGACTCGCTGTTAGAATGTACAGGATGTTTTTTATTATTTAAGTACTAATGAAAACAAGAATAGTTTTATTGTATCAGATGAATTTATTTTGAGAAAAGCCTTCGATTTAATAGAACATGAATATATTTGTAAAGCACTAAAGTCTGTATGCTTAGGTCTAACATTTATTAAATTGGTTTTGAGAAAAGCTTTCGATTAAATAGAACATGAATATATTTGTAAAGCACTGGAGTCTGTCTGCTTAGGTCTAACATTTATTAAATTTGTTCAAACCATGGCCACACAAGTAGTAGGTCCATGTTCAAACACTCTATTGGAACACTGAAGGACGTGTACTCAATAATGGCACTTCAACCAGGTATTTCCCCCATCTCCAGGAGAGGAAGAAAAAGAGTCCCTTTATCCCCGTACCCTTTTCCTATTGTTTGTTTGTTCGTTTGATTGGTTTTATTTCTGCGTTCAAAAATATACAAATTCAAATTTAAAGTACACAAATTCGAATAATAACAAATACAATGAATAAAATGTTTACAAAAATAATTAAGATGATGTTTGAAAGTTTGCATGGTGGTATGAATAATCACGGAAGAGGTTTACGGTACACCATGTGTAAAGTCCTCGAGGGACTGAGGAAAGTGGATAGAAAATAGAAGTGAGATGGAAAGGCGAGAAAGTGGAGGTTGGAAGGAAGAGTATCTTTCGGAAGTGAGTATAGTCCTGAAAAGGACTGTAAACCAGAAAGTTGTAGGAGGGATGAGAGGTTTGAGTAGAAGACTGGATTGAGTTGGAGAGTTGAGTAGGCGAGTAGAGTTGCAGAGCAGGAGCAGGAGAGTAGACTCGACGTTTCGGACAGGTTGACTGTCCGTCTTCAGGAGTGAAGGAGTGACGGACAGTCAACCTGTCCGAAACGTCGAGTCTACTCTCCTGCTCCTGCTCTGCAACTCTACTCGCCTACTCAACTCTCCAACTCAATCCAGTCTTCTACTCAAACCTCTCATCCCTCCTACAACTTTCTGGTTTACAGTCCTTTTCAGGACTATACTCACTTCCGAAAGATACTCTTCCTTCCAACCTCCACTTTCTCGCCTTTCCATCTCACTTCTATTTTCTATCCACTTTCCTCAGTCCCTCGAGGACTTTACACATGGTGTACCGTAAACCTCTTCCGTGATTAAAAATAATTAAATAGAAAAAAAATCATATGCAATTATATCATACGATAAACATGTACGAAGCATACAAATAAGATAAGAAATATATAGTAAATATTTTCAAATAAATTAGAGAGGTTATTTAGAACGCAGGAGACCACCATCGCAATTTAAATGTTAGCTTCTAGTTTAAGAAATATGAAAGAAAATAGAGGTATTAATTTTGGCTCAATTAAATCAAAACTATCATTGCATGCAAATGATTTTTGTGCATTTTAAAAAGATTATAATTCAGTTGAAGTGCTAAAGCAATTTGGTAAATATTTTAATCTGGCATTTAAAACAGAAAAAACAAAAATATTGAAGACTTTAAAGCATCGAGTTCCTCGGATTATTGAAGCTATCCGCCTCGTCGATACTATCAGATTCTTAGGAACAGAAGTTGGGTACAATTCTAAGGATTATCAGGTACAAAAAATGAAGGATTTACTCCTATCACTTAGGCGAGAACTACATGTATAGACATAATGCAATTTTACATTATTTGGTAAACTACATATCATTAATTCTTTTGGTATATCTAAGTCATTTACGTATTCTCATTAATTCTTTTACCCAGTGCGTTGTAAAAGGATTGAAACTTATTTTACGCTTTTCTATGGAAAGGGAAGGACATAGTTAGACAAGATGTTAGTATACACATATTTAAGAAAGGATGTCTCAAAATAGTAGATATAAAATCCGTAATGTCGGTGGACTAGCAGTTAACTTGGATTTTAAGAATGAATAGTGGAAGCAATCAAAGTTCGTTCAATGCTTTTAACTATTATACACAGACATTATGGTGGTGCTTTTCTTC